TTTTTTTGGTACATGGACCTTCCGGTTTCCGAATCCACAGGGGAACCGACTAATCCGGAATCGAGCCGGGTAGGTCCACAAGGGCGGCAAAGCTCTCCCTCAAGAGTTTTAACACTGCTGCATTCTCAGGGCTCGAACTCGAGACCACTGGTTAAGCTGGAAAAGACCCAAGCCATCTCATCCAAGCGCTCTTGGGTTAATAAGAAAATTCTTTTAGAGTACTTGAATGCAACTATTTTCTAATAAAGCATATAATGCATAGTATATAATCGTCTTGCTGCCGACATATTTTGGAAGAGTCAAATCGATTCATATCTATGAATGTGGACAACAATACATTAAAGAAGGCCGATGAACACGTATTGAAACAAAAATATATGCAATGCATGTTCACTTCTGATTAGTACGCGCGCAGTAGACACGAGATTCATCATTTAAGGTCCCCAAAAAACTGATTGTTGGCTTCTTCAACTATTAACTAAATAAATGTCATTTTGAATTTTTTTTACATATTTTTCCATTATTACTCACATTTAGCTAATAAATACATTACGTCTTTCATATTCACTCTTCGTCTTTTCCCATAACATTCATATCTAACTTCATTAAATAAGGTTATTATTGACAAAAAAATATTTTTAATTAACATGAACTTCTCAAAACAACATATATTAAAAACAGGGGCGAAGCTACAGCCAGTTGCTGGGGTTGTCCGACACCGACGCTTTGCGTTGAACCACTTGTACGTAACAAAATTTCACCGTGTAAGACCCCATTAAAAAAATAATAAGACCCCGACAGCAGGGGCGGATCTATATAAGACACCGTGTAAGACCCACCGACCCCAGCAACCAAAATTTCTGGCTTCGCCCCTGATTAAAAATATGAGGTGGTATAATTTAATTGTTGTTGAGATGACCCCTTAGAATACGATGATGCGGCCACACTGGCTTTGAGTAATTCAAATCAACGACCAACTTTACTGAACCTTCTAGACGACTAATAATATTTTTTTTTCAAAACGATAGAAGATATTATAAATTAAAAAACACAAATGTGTGAATAAACAACAGTCAACGGTTGAATACACAACAATCAACAGCTGAAAAAGTGGAAAGACAAGTCTGAAGACCGCCTAGAATCCCGACTAGCAACGCTAGAACAAAAAACACTTGCTACTAAACTAACCAACAGCACAACACTAGACGACGAATAATTGAATTGGTAAACTTACGATGATATAGTCATCCGGCCACCACGTGTCATAGTTTAAATGGGAGGGGCCGACATGTCATTTTCGCTATCAGTTGCTTTCTCACTGATTACAAAGCTTTTTATATGGCTGGGCTGAGACTAGATTTTTCCACAATTTATCTTCAGTACGTCTTTAGGTTCGCTCAAGAGATAAGATTTTATTATCTGGATTTTATTGCAAACACCAATCTCGATCTTTTCATTATTATACTTGTGTGTGTGTGGGTGTGTGTTTTTTTTCTTTCTTTTTTGTTTCCTTTGGAAAGGTAAGAATCATGCAACTTTTTTTTTTTTTTGGTGGCCAGTTACGATATTTGGAGTTATGCTCCAACTAATTTGTTGGTCGATCTAGGTTGCACACTTGGCAATGGTGGGTGAATCTCCCAACAAGGGTTTTCTGCATCTACAAAGACTCGAACCCGAGACCTTGCTTAAGCGACATCAAGCTGCTTACTACTTGAGCCAACCCTTGTTAGTAGAATCATGCAACTTTCATGAGTGATTGAGGCTGATTAACTAATTAATTAATAATAATAATAATAATAATAATAATAATAATAATAATAATAATAATAAGAACAAAGCTATATTTCAATTTTGCATTTATGGCCAGCTTGAGAAGGTGATTAATTAATAATTAATTATAATAATAACTGTTTGCTATAAGCCTACAACGTATACAGGAACTCATAGTTGTGTATATTGTATATGTTTAATTTATTCTCACTTAGCAACTAAAATGATTGAAAAAAAAAAATTAAAAAAAAAAACTATGATGGTTGAATTAAATTGACAGTGAATAACTGATTAAATAAATTATTTACTCATTTAGCATTTAGGTGCTATTATAAGCAATTCTTACTAGATATTATGAAAATAAAACCTTACTGATGGCTCATTTAATTAGGTGCATATATATATATATATATATATATATATATATATATATATATATAAAAGCAGTTTTTCTACGTACGTTACTTTGAGGCACGAATTTTCCGCATTTTTTCGTCAATGTTGTTTCCTAATTTTTTATTTTATATATATCTCATTTATATCATATCATGGCACTTTAAATTTCCCAATTACTTTTATATATGGTCCATTATTATGTGGATTGTGTAGAAAGTGGACCATTTCAACGTTGAGAATGTGATTGGGGAAAATAGTTATTAAATATTGCATTAAAAACATTAACCCACACGGAAGCTACGACGCTTATAAGTATTTTGATGGATATATAATGATACGAAATACTATGGTTTCGTTACGGTACTATCTTGTTTGGTGTTTTAACCGTTTGATTATCTATTTTATATATATATATTTTTCTTTTGGTACAAATTATCTATTTTATATTAACTACATGTGTGTCTAACTGTTAAAACTCCCGACAGAATGGTACCGTAACGGAACCACATTATTTCCCTATAATAATATACTATGAATTGGTATTTTTTTTTTGGGTACAATTTTTTTTTTCGGTACAGTATGAATTGGTATCATTAGTTAAATTTACAATTTCATCTCCATGAGTTATTACCATTAATTATTTTCACACTTCCTTAATTATCTATCATACAAACAATACCACTCTTTTTTTTTTTTTTGGTATTTATCTCCATCAAACAGCTTGCTCCACTCTTCATATTTATCTGCAGAATATTCATATTTTAATATTTAAATATCACATTTTAAGAATAATATGATTTATAATATAATGATAAAATATTTTATCATATATATAAATATGCATATTTAATGAGAAAGTAGTACGGTGCTATTACTTAATAGCATAATAGCAAAATTTGTGAATTTGGAAATTTCGACATATATATACTAATAAAATTTAATCTGAAATAAGTTTTTTGTTACCTCTTGACCTAATTGTAAGCTTCAAATAATATGTATGAAGTCATCAATAAAAAAAAAAAAAAATATCAACATACCTCAATGAAGTTGCAGAAAAGCAATTTGGTTTATTTACTAAAATCCCGATTAATTTTTAATACATTTTTCTTTTTCTAAATGGAAAAGACTACGTTATGATACCATCCCGTCTACATTTTAACGTTGGATACACATGGAGTTATTATAAGATAGATGATCCAACAATTAGAATACCCGACAGAATGGTATCGTAACGGGACTATAACATTTCCCGTTTTAAATAAAGCGTAAGTGCAAATTAAATTTGATGTTTAATATATAATACATGCAAACACAAAATCAATACAAGCGAAATTGTTGAAACAAATCATATAAAACCAGGCACAGCCAATTTATAAATAATTATATGATTCTGTAAGTAATCTAAAGAGTAGGTACCCAATGATATGTGTTCACTCGTAAACTATAATCGATCACCAAATAATCAGACAAAATAAAAATGCCACTATCAAACCCCAAAAAATAAAATAAAAATTAATAAAAATAAAAACACACAGACCAAAAAATAAAACTAACCGGAAACCATTAACCCGCCCAAACCTACGCTCAAGACAATCGACAGGAATAAAATCGGAGGCCTGCACGGCGTCGCCGCCAAGGACCGCGGCCGACCACCGCCTTGCGAGTTGGTATCCGCCGGAGTACCACTTCCCGGAGCAGAGGAAGTAGAAGATCCAGGCGTAGCTGGGGACCCACTCGCTGGGGACGTAGCTGAACCATCCGTTCCCGGAAGAGGAGCTTCACCCGCCGGGGACGGACCTCCGCCGTAGACCGCCGGTCCAGGAGCTCCAACCGCCGGAGATGGACCTCCGGCATAGACTGCCGGTCCAGGTGCCCCAACCGCCGGAGACGGACCTCCACGGTAGACCGCCGGTCCAGGAACCTCCACCATCGGAGATGGACCCGACCCATGGGTCGCCGGCCCAGGAGCCTCAGCCACCGGAGATGGACCCGACACGTGGGCCGCCGGCCCGGGAGCCCCAACCGCCGGAGATGGACCAGACCCGTGGTCCCCTGTCCCGGGAGACGATGACGGGGAGCCAGATGGCGAGAAGGGTCCTCCTGTCGCCGGCGACGGAGACAAGGTCGATCCGGTCCCCGGCGGCGAAGCTCCACCAGGCCGGGAGGAGGGCGAGCCTCCTCCCTGACCGGCCGGCGGCGTATTTGGGCGGTTCCTGACGGCAAGAACGACGACGATCAGCTTCTGTCCGGCGTCGCAGCTGGTCCTGTTCCCGGAGATGAAATAAAAGGGGCCCGACCGGTCGAACGTGAAGACAGAACTCCCATCGTCGAACCTCTGTATCGGGTTCGCGGTGTTGCAGCTATCGTAATCGGCCCTGTTGCTCACCACAAGAACAGAGTCCGAGCCTCTGTTATACCTGAACACTGCCATCAAAACACAAGTAGTATAATAATCAATCTTGAAGTGTTCGAAAAAAAAACCAGAAAATTTGTTAGGCAGCTGATGATAAAGGGAACTCACAGAGTGTGTCATTGACTTGAAACCTGTTTCTCTGAGCCCATTGGGTGTAGTTTTCAGAAGGGTTTGTGACCCAGCCTCGGCTCCCACCAACCACAAAACGGTAGCCACAGCAAGAGCTCAAGAAACAAGAAAACAGAACAAGAAAGAGAACAACATGTCTCCCCTCAGCCTCATCGTAAGCCATTGATTTGATTTTATTTTAGTATTGTGTGTAGGATAAAAAGGAGTCAATAAGTGAAGGGGTAGGAAAATAGTTGGGGGATTATATAGGGGACTTTTTTTTTTTTTTTTTTTTTTTAAATTTTAATTGTTAGTAAGTGTGAGTTACCGTTGCAGAGGGGAGTGGGGGAAGAATGAAGGCAGGAGAAGTTTTGGTTTTCCTGCGGTAATAAATGATTGTTAATTACCAGTGTATTTATGTTTGTTTTAGGTAGCATTTAAGTGTGTTGGGCGACTGTCAAAGTATGGATGGGGCACAAACCACACATACGACTCCCTCAACCGTTGCAAGACAATAATATTGAAATAGAAGAAAAAAAACAAAAAGAAATGGTTGGTACAAACTTTGTCTACTAGACAAGATAACGGGTGGATTCACATTTTTTTGAAATAAAATTATAATGCATCTTTATTTATTTTTAAAATTTTGATTAATAAATTCATATTTATACTAATAAATAAGAACAAATGTTTATACTCTACTTTATACTCTACTTACTTAAATACTCGTATGGTCACACAGTCTGAACATAGGTTGAATGTATACATACATCCAAGCAGTATGAAGATGTTCGTCCCAAGGAGAAAAAAAAAAAAACTAACGAACGAATTCAAATTATCACCAATGTACCAACGCACTGGAACCCAATCTCGAATAATGAAATCTAAATAAGCCTCACGAGCTCTCAATGGTAAAGATTCTAAGCTCTCTGTATTGATAATGATAGAGCTCTCTCAAAGACCGGAACTCTGGAAACTAGAATATATACAAAACTATAAACGGTATGCAGGTTCATCGGAAGTTGGGAGTTTCCAAAACTTCACGATCTTCACGTTCAACCTTGAAAATGTCTTGAAAGTCACCATGCATCATTATCTTTGTCCAAATCTTTCAGATTTAATCGTGTTTCTCTTTCTCTTTAATAATGTGGAATTTTTTTCCTTGATTCCTTGCCAACTATTGGGAATATCTCCATGCTCAATTTTCTTCCTTGTTCAACTTCTCCAGCTCTCAACCTCACATTTTCAGCTCTTAAAATCTCACGTGAGTCTCTTCCTTTTTCAATAAGTAAAAGAAAGACAATTAAGTACATAATTTATAAATATAGTAAGAGAATGATCATCATAATACTAAGAAAGAAGAATATGTAAGCAATCTCCTAATAATTCTCTAGCACTTCTTATTAAATATTATTATCTCCTATTTTTTATTATTTGTCGTTTTGAGAAGCAACACACTAATTAAAGATTTTTTTTTCTTGCCAATATTAACCCTGATGTGGGATAACATACACATGATTTATGGTCGACGTACTAGCCCAATTTGAACACGCGCATATCGTGGAAATTATTTGAAAGAAAAGAAGAAAATAATTTGTTGTGGCTTATGATACAGCAAATCCGACTCGGTTATTGATAGAGTGAATAGATCTGATAGTTGTTTCCTGAATCGGAAAGAGAGTACTTGGGTATCAATAAGATAAAGTGATAGACCTCTCAACATGATCGAGGAAATGCTATGAGGAGATAATGGGAATTTACATCAAGCCAAGGAGTGAACATAGCAGTTCCCAACATATGGGAGACGTGATAAAAACGGTTAGAGGACAAATAATGTCAATTGGGTCCAAGTATATATATAGGGAACGTTATTAGGTTATAGGGAACGTAATTAGGTCTTCAAGGGTAAGATGAATTCATAACAATTCTCTACAAAAATCTTTCAATATTGGCAATATCCAAATAACTAACTTAAGCATCAGAGGGCCAAGCCGGAGACTCTTCCTCTCCGGTCCAGGCTTTTTTGCAGGTGTTCAAGACTATTAACCGGTGTGAAGAACGAGATCCTGAGGGATCTAACCGGTTTAAGTTATCAATTCATACCAAACCCTATTTAATGGATGGTATGAGAAATGATGGAGATGAGATATGAAGAGGCACTGTGTATTAAATGGAGTGTTAAAATGGAAAAATATGAACAAAATAGCCAAAACGATATTTATTTAATCAATGATGAATTAAACCAAAATGACAAATAATAAAAATAGAAAAGAGTATTACTTTTTTTTATACTTCAATATCATTTATTTTCCTACAAGCTAAATGAAGATAATTATCCAAATACATTATAAAAGTATGACAAAGGTATGAAAAATTGAGATAAGAAGGTCTTCATTTTCTCTTGAAGCATTAATTCAATGTTGCATATTTCAAGGAACAAAAATATGTAAAAAATAAACAATATTTTGGATTAATTTCGAATCAATCTTTCTTACAATCTCCTCCTTTAGCTTATAGCCGAAAACTCATTTCTTGAAACAAACTTGGAAAAGACAAGTCAAGCTCGTAACTAGTATAGATGGACCAATATGGGTCGTCTAACTATATAAACTATCAAATCATAGATCATGACGTACAATTGTACCAACTTTGAGAACACAAGACTAAACTATTAGAGTGTAATAGGTCAAACAATCAAATATCATAATAAGATGGCAAGAACTCAAATGAACTAACATCGAAAATCACTCGAGTAAAAAACTCAATATCAGAGAATAGGAAATTGCTGCAGTCCCGTTGATGGAATGGTTCCGTCAATATTGGTTACCGTAGATTATCCACACAAGATAATCTTTATGTGTATCCAATGGTGTAAAACACTGACGGTACCATCCCGTAACGGCACCTTAGAATTTTCCCATAGAATATGATAGAACCTCACAAGAGTAAAGACTCAAAAGAACAACTAGCTAGTTTCATACTTGATTTATTTTTAATCAGTATACCCAATTTTGGTTTAATTTTATTTCGTAAACCTATATTTCTTTCCTTATGATTAATTTCATTTACTCTTTTAATGTGACTTTGCTGCTTGGTTTTTATATTTTTCCCATAAATTTAATTAATTTTAAGTTATCACATAGATAATAATATAAACTAATAAATTGTAAGTACACTGAACTATCACAGAAGAAAAGGTTATAATTTTGCATAACATTATATTGTTTAGGTATTTGTTTTGTTAAAATCATATTTATGGAAATAAAAATCAGAAAGTGCAATGCAAATTTAAATAGCCTTTAGATATTGGTTAGAAGGGTTTCCAAAGAGCTTCCAGCCCATACTGAAAAACGATTTTAAACCCAACTACCTAAGAAAGGCTCTAAGCCCATCTAAAGGCCCAAAGGAGTCCATATTTGATAAAAGTAAACTACCAACTACAGTACTACTTTACTCGGGTCGATCATACACAGAATTGAAAACTCTCAGATTTTTTTTTTTTTTTTTCTTAGGCAATATTAATATATTAACTTTTTATTTTTTTTTTTTTTTTTTTGCAAACAATTATGCCAAAACTTTTTTTTCTCATATCGTCAACCATCATTGCAAAGCATAAGAAAAATAAATAGATAAAGTAAAAGAAATATGACTGATATTTAGATATGTCCACGAGCCGAACCGGCATCGGCATGGCCCGAACCGACCTCCTAAGGGCCAGTTCGTTGAACCGGACCCGTAGAGTCGGAGTTCGGTCCGGATTCAATTTTTTTGTATTTTGGTCTTACACTCTTACTGGTCCAAAGTCGGGCTGGGTCGGACGGCGGGCCACATTATTATTTTTTTTTTGTTTTTTTAAGGACCGTCCCGGCTCGTGAACCGCCGGGTCGGTGAACCGACGGTTCGGGCCAGTTCTAGTTCTTAGCGGGACAGTCGTGGGTCATGTGTTGGAGGGCCCGGCAGGCCAGGCCGAGCCGAGCCTCGGCTCGTTGACTGGCCACCTCTACTGATATTTGATATCCTAATTTTTTTTTTTAATTATAAATTATGATTTAATCCCTTAAGGCTTTCTGCATTTTCTTTGAAAACTGTTGTGACTAATACGGCTTTGTCGTCCATGGAATCCTTCATCTGGAAAGATTGTCTCCCGTCTTCTTTTTTATCTTCTTCTTTTGGTAATGTTCGGAGCCTATATATGTATCTCTTGGATGTTATCATTGTTGTATTTGCCAAAAAAAATAAAATTATTTCATGAAGAGCAACACCTACTTTGATTCCAATGACAAAAACCCTTGAGATGTCATAATTAAGAGCGTGCTTGAATACAAAATATATTCGCGCAAAATGAAGTTTTTATGTTAACCATGATTAATTTTGAAAAATAGTATGATTAGTTATTAGTATGATTTTGAGTTTATATTAAAATAATATTTAAAAATAAAATAATAAAAATATATTTGATGTAAAAGTAGGAAATAGATGATGTGAATTGTGGATAAATAACGAATTAAAATTGATGTGATATGCAAAAATAAATTATTGATATTATTTAATTATATTAATAATACTGAGAATAGTAAAATTGAGTTAAAATTGAATTTGATTTTAAGAGTTAATTGAGAAAATTTATAAGCAAACACACTTGCATGGCTCTGCTTGTTTAAAAAAAAAAATACAAAAAAATCTATCTAAATTCAAAATTTAATAGACTTCAACTCAACTTCACTATTCTCAATATTATCAATATAATTAAATAATATCATTTAATTATTCTTACATATCACATCAACCTTAATTCACTGTTCACCCACTCACATAATTTTAATTACTTATTATTTCTAATTATTTATCTCCTATATTTATATCAAATCAATTTTAACCATTTTATTTTAAATACTATTTTAATACCTCTAGTTAACACAAAAAAGTCCGAAAAAATAACCAATTTTTTTTCTAGTTTTTTTTATAAACAAGTACGGCCTCTCTAATCAAACTAAGCACAAAATCAAGCATAAATTTGCATCTAATTAATTTTAACTCAACCTCACTATCCTCAATATTATCAGTATAATTAAATAATATCATTAAATTATTCTTACATATCACATCAACCTTAATTCACTGTTCACCCACTCACATAATTTTAACTACCTATTACTTCTAATCATTTATCTCCTACACTTACAT